TAATTTTGAATTAGGTCATTTTACTTAAATTGTATTACTTCATAAATAACCCTGAAATGATTAGTGCTTTGTGTACATGTTCTTCAGATTGTTTATCCTGAGGTTGAGATAGATTTGTATTGATCTATAAGTTTATGTATTCAACCAGTGTTTAATGAATACTCACTGTGAGCTAGGCCCAGTAGTACCCCTGTGAACTATAGATATGAGCAAAACATAGTCTTACTCTTAGGCTTTTTGTCTTATATTCAATGCAGACATGTAGACAGACAATAAAAAGATATTGGGTGCTTCCATTAGAAGTTTATTTAATCAGTTTAGTTGGCAGGGGAAGGTGCCTAGGATGGCCTCCTAGAATAAGTAAGTCTAAACCGAGAATTGTAGAATAAGTAGGGAGTAGGCAGGTAAAGGGCACGGGGTTAAAATGAAAGAATATTCAAGGAAGAAACTTGAAGATGGAAAAGACTCTGGGAAGGTGGGAAAATTAAAAATGTTCGATACTTTTTGTCAGATAGCTGGGCAAGGTGTGACTGTTCACAAAATACTCTCTCATTCAGTAAGTAGACTTGTGAACTTTCCATCTCATGCTAAATTAGGAATTTCTAAACACTTTGTCATGAATTCCATGAGTAACAAATGTTTATGTACCCCAGTATATAATCCATATTTATTTGTAAGTTGATGTAGTACTAAGTTTATATATATAGTAAAACAGACAAAAAAGGATGGACTGTAAGTCAAATGTATAATCTCATAATATGGTAGTACATAGAGGGGAGTGATGCATCATTGTTCTTTAAGATGTTAGTTTAATATTTTGTGACACATCTATTCAGAGATCTGTTTATTTTGATGCTTGACTTTAATGGCAGTTAAATCCTGGATCAAAAGGGGGAGTTTGCAAATATGCCATTTGCAAATATGCCATTTTTTTCCCCATGAAACTTCATTATCATTTCTGGAAATGTTTTATTAAAATGTGGCTGTCTCCATTTCCATCTGTTCACTAGTTTTTCTTGCGGATGAACTAAAATGTATTATACTTTTATAGTGGTAATAAGTTAACAATTAATTGAAAGCTATTATTTGCTTTTGTTTTGATTTTTTAAAAAGATTAGAATGTCTGCTTCTAATTTTTTTTAAAGCATGCAGATACGAATTTTGGGGGACAGTTTTCAATAGCAGAATCATTTAGCAATGGAAATGTCCCAGATAGCCAATTTTCAAATACTCTATTCATTAGAACAACGTATTTTTCCTTTTAAAAAATATTTGGGGCTAGAGATGTAGCTTAGTGATAGAGCACTTGGCTAGCATGCTTCAGGCTCTAGGTTTGATCTCCAGAACTGAGAGAAAAAAAGTCTTGGTGAAAAACATTTTTATTTTACAGGAACAGAGTGACTTTTTAAATATGTTAGTTGCATACTACTACAGCCTTGCTACTTATTTAGCAAGTTTGGAACACTAGTCTTTTTATTTTTAAAAAATTATGTAGCTCATCTATGTTTAACAAATCTTTTAAGTACCTACCTTGTAGTAAGTAACATGAGTCTCTGTATGATTTTTTTAAAAAATGATTTTCATAGCTACTTCTTACTTCTTATGGAGTGTAGGAAAGAGTCTATATTATAAATTAGATAAAATAATGAAAAAATCAGATAAATCAACTTCAGTGATGTCCCAAAGCTTTTTGCGTTCCTTTGGTTTTTATTTGCAGCAGTTTACCTTTGAAGCCAACAGTGAACGACTTTCTTATAAAGTGCTATCTTTGTAATTCTACTCTTTTCAAAGAAGTTCCATCAAAGTGATGATTACAGTTTTCCCATGAAGCGTGTTGTTTTAGCGTTGAGAATATATCCTTTTCAATATGTGTATCACTTCTCAGTATCTCACAAAATTGTAGTTCTTTGGGTATTTCAGAATTATGCAGCAAATACTCCAAGACGAAAGAAACATCTCTATTTTGATTCAACTGTATAACAAATCTTCCATTTATAATTTATCTTGGTATCTTCACTTGGGTTTTGTAAGACCTTTTGATATACTTACCAGTAAAAGAATATTTAGTTTGTCAGTATTTTGTTTTCCGTGTATCATTTCAGACATTTTTGCTCTGCTTTATATCTTTTCTTTGAAGGAAACTTAGCAGATTTGAAATGTACTAACGTTAATGCAATTTTGTGAATTGCTAGATTAAATAGTCTATGACTTTAAACATAGATGCAAAAAAATGTAGAATTTTACCTCATACAATGAATCCCTAAAGTCCTGGCAGAATTTGAGAACTTTGTTAGTACTGTTAGGTTATATCTTAAGGCAAAAATACTTAGAATGAGGTTCATCTTTCTAGTTTCTCCTTTTGGTTTGTTTGTGTTTTTTTGAGACAGTGTCCTGGTCTACAGTCCAGGCTGGCTTGAACTCAGCTGTAGACCAGGTTAGCCTCAAACTTCAAATCCTTCTGCCTAAGCCTCTCAAGTGCTGGGATTACAGGTATATGCCACTGCATCTGGATAGGGTTCATCTTTAATAAGAATTAATATAAAATAGGTATAAATAAAAATACTCATATTTTCTTCTTATGCTCCCAAAGAGTCTTACAGACCTTTTCAGAACACATATCCTACTTTAGACACTATTGCGTTACACTGGGATAACACTATAGAAATTAACCTTTTCGTTAAAAGGAAGCAAAAAGTACTTTATTTTGCTGTATAAGTTTGTATTTGGTTGAAAATTGTGAGAATAATCAACTTTGGTTTAAAGTTTGAAAAATAAGGGCTTTACTCGTAAACAGAGTATGACTAGAAGAATCGTAGCTCACTAGGAAACCCTAGAGAGTGATGGAAGGGTTACTGTTTAAAAATGTTATTTAAAAGGGTGTTTGGGGCGGGGAATATAGCCCAGAAGCACAGCACCTGCCTGGCAAGCACAAGGTCCTGAGTTCAATTCCTGGTGCAAAACAAAATAACAACAAAAAAAAAAAAACAAAAAAACCTAATAAAAGGGTGTTTGCTAGTAGCTGTTGACCAGAAGGGCCAAAAGTATACATTGTTGTTGTTGTTATTTTGTGGTACTGGGGATTGAACCCAAGACCTTTACACTGACCTGTGTCCCCAGACCATTTTGTTATTTTTTCTTTTGAAACATGATTTGCTAAGTTGCCCAGGCTGGGCTCAAACTTGTGATTTTCCTGCCTCAGCCTTACAGAGTTATACCACCAGGCCCAGCTTACTTTGTAATTATTTTTGTTTAGAGATGTTTAAATGGTGGTTTTTCTTAATTGCTTATTCACTAGGGGTCTCTTATAAAATGAAGCTTTTTTGTAATCTACTTTATCAAATTTATTGAATTTATTTCATTGCATTTTTATCAGTCAACCTTATTGGGAAAAGATGGAAAATCTGTTCCAATTTTGCTCAAGTTCCAATAAGCTTGAGCAAAAAAGAATTTATTGGCTCATAAGCACATTCAGGATTGGTCTCAAGGACTTTTTACTTGGTTGTTGTGATTAGGTTTGTCTGTATTTATTAGTTTATCCACATCTCTCTGGCCGTGGCTTTCTCAGTGACGGTTTTACTTTTAGTGTACAGAGTTTTCCTCCGTGCGACGGTGTGGCAGTGAAGAGTACTTTCTTGGCAGTTGTACATATAAACTCCCATTGGTAGATCGGGAGTGTATGTGGCTACGTGTGTTTTGTGTTTGCCAGTCCCCCAAACCCACATGAAACATGGAGGGTCAGTCTTCCAGAGGAGGGGTTTGCCGCTACCACAGGGAAGAGATATGATGAATCAAAACAAGAGATGTTTGCTACAGTAGCCTTGCTGCTTACTTAGCAAGTTTGGAGCACTAGTCTTTTTTTTAAAAAAATTATGTAACTCATCTATGTTTAACCACTACATTTGCTACACCACTACATTTGTAGTGGTGAAGAATAGAGAAAAGGAAGGCATAAATACTATTTAGCATGTTCACAACAGTGCTGCAATTTGTATGTCTTGCTGCTGGGCGGCTTGAAATACCAATAGTGTGTACATGACGGTCCTATTGGGTGGCTTTTTATTAATTTTATTAGTAAAAAGACCCATAAAAGTGATTAGATCTGTTTGTACTATTAGTGGTACAAGCCATTTGATAGGACAGTCATGTATGTACCACTGCTGAATCAAGCCAGTGACATATGTTAACATATAAAACACGACTTAATTTTATTTTATGCATCATTGATTTTTACAGAGTATGCAAGCTGCAAGATGTCCTACAGATGAATTATCTTTAACCAACTGTGCAGTTGTGAATGAAAGAGATTTTCAGTCCAGCCAGTGAGTATCTATTTTCTTTTAACCTGCTGAGTGGTACTTGAGAAATGTCCAAAGAGTCATGTTTAGGAAGTTTTTGGAAATTATTTTTCTGTTGTTCTTGCTGAGTTGGAAAATGAAAGTAATGAGCTGCATATTTAAACATTACTTTGTCAAACTTTGTTAAATACATTTTAAAACCATATGTCCCTTTTTATAGATAACTTTTATTTTGTTTTCTTAGAGCTAAACATACTAGTTACATGAATTATAGCACAGTTGTTAGGTGTTTTGCCCTGGAATCAGATTGTCTGAGTTTGGATTATATGGCTCTGCCAGTTTTAAACTGGGTGATCATGGGTAATGTATTTATTATCTCTGTGTGTCTATATCCTGATCTGTGAAGTGGGGAAGATGTTACCTTCATCAGGATAGTTGTAAAGATTTAGTTACACAAATAAAACACTAAGGTGCCTAGTATATTAACGAGTTCTTAATAGAGTTTAGTGATGTGATTATTACTGAGATAATCTGAGAGACATGAAAATTAGAGGATATATAACAAATGTAAATTTTTTTTTTGTACTGGGGATTGAACTCAGGAGTTTGTCCATGCTAGGTGAGTGCTGTTAGACTGAGAGCTACATTCCCAGACCTTTTTATTTTTATTTATCTATGTCTTTGGTTGGTTGGTTTTTTTGAGACAGGGTCTCAGTGTGTAGTACAAGCTGGCTTCCAACTCACTGTGTAGCCCAAGCTGGCCTTAAACTTGCCGCAGTCCTTCTACCTCAGCCTCCTGAGTGCTGGGATTACAACATGCACCACCATACTTCACGCTTTATTTTTATTTTTGAGACAAGGTCTTGCTGAATTGCCCAGGCTGCCCTTGAATTTCTGATCCTCTGTTTCAGCCTCCCAAGTAGATGAGATTATAGGTGTGCAACACCACACCTCACTCAAATTTGGAATCTCTAAAAGCATTTTCATCGTAATTTATTTAATTGATTCATATCACTCAGTGATAATGAACTTCCAAAGACCTTGTTGCCAAGTTCAGCATCATCCATATGCTTCCAGCGCTGGAAACAAGGAGATGAAAGGATTGTGTACTACAAGACAGTCTAGGAAAGAAGGAGCAAGAAAGCGAGATTTTAACTTTTAGAGTAAGAGGCAGTACTGTGTGCTTCTATTAATATTGTTCCTGGTGCTAAACATTCTGTGATGCTAAACTGAACATAGAATTTTCAGCAAATAAACTAAATATAGGTAATCAATGTGAGAATTTCTTTGTGGAGTTCTGCGTGTTGAACAATCATTGCAGGGTTACTTAAAAGACACATAAGGGTCTTGTGTTTTAGTTAGCAAAACAGTATGCACAGAAACACATTAAGTATTATCATTAAAAA